CCCCGGCCCCCGCGCCGCCGGGGGGCGGGAACGCGTGCGAGTCGTCGAGGTGCATCTCTGCGGCGGACGTTGAGCGCCGCGACTTCCCCCCGGGGCGGCGAAACATGGTTGGCAGCCGGGCCCGGGCGAGGGCCGCCGAGGAGTCGCCGTGGAGCTGTTGGAAGGAGTCGAACTCGGACAGCAGCGAGTTGAGGCAGCGCAGAAACTCAACCGGCGTGGACGAGTACAGGTCGTTGATGGTGGGGATGGAGAGCCCGAGGAGGAGGTAGTTTGCCGCCTTGCGGGCGAGCTTTCGGGGGTCGAAGCACTGCATCCGCGACAGGTCCGACCGCTCGAAGAGATATGTGTTGAACCAGTAGACTCGGCCTTCGTGCCTGGCATGTGAGAGTTAGTTAGCTGTCCGTGGCCACGGGCAATCGCCCCCGTCTCTTCTCGTCTTGTACATACGCCTTTCGCAGGTAGTCCAGGGTTGATATTCTCTTGTTGGCCACGTCGGTGATTTGTTGGTGTATCATGCTCGCCTCGCTCTGCTGCCAAGTGCCGGCCGCAGCGCCGTTCAACGAGGATGGAACCCCAACGGGGGTTGGGGGCGGGAAGTAGCTCCCGGCGCCGGTGTTTGTCCTGCTCATGCTCGCGAGGCCGCTGCTGCCGCCGGTTGGGCTGACGGGACTTCGGACGCCGTCGTCGACACTTCCCATGTCCCGTCTATCACGGCTCTGGACCTTGGCGGCGGCGGGCAGCGCGTAGTCCGGCAATGCTGGCGGTGCCGCAGCGTCGGTCACGATGGCATTGGGATTCGAGGCAGCGGTCGAGCCGACAGAGGAGCCTCTCCGACGCGTGCTTCCGGAGAGCGAGGCCTTCCGCGAGAACGAGGCCTTGCGAGACTCCTTGACGGGGCCAGATGTAGGAATGGGCGGCGGCGGCGAATGCGGCGGCGGATGGAGCGGATCGATGCTGCCGTCGCGCGTGGTTGGTCTTGAGAAGGAGCTGGGGTTGGTGAAGATGCCGACGGAAAAGGGAGGAAAAGTAGGCGTCGCCGACGACGTCGGCGTAGTTCGCTGCATGGCGGCGGCTGTGGCGAGGTATTGTTATTTTAGAGTTTCGGCCGGTTTGGATCTAGATGAAGGGCCGTCCAAGCGGATGACGATTAAAGTTGAAGAGTGCCAATAGTCCGTTCCAGGAAGCGAGGAGGCGCCAACGGCAACCGTGCTGTGGAATGCGACCGGCGATGGAATGACGATGCCAGCTCGGGATCTGGCCGGGGACCTTGATCATATATCATATGTCAGTCAAGCAGTTCTGCAAGCCAGAAGCTACGAATGGAGACGTGGGAGTTGATTCAGCGAGTCTGGCGCATGGTGGTGGCGCCCCTCCCCAAGTTGCCGTAGCGGAGCTTTGAAATCAATGGGACATGGATGGCGCCACAAAAGCGCACACTGTGGACAAGGGACATGGCTGATGGAGCAGTGGCATTGGCTGCCCTGAGCATGGAGTTCTGGTTTGCCTACCCTCTGGAACGGAGTCTCTCTGATATTGCACCGAGTAAAATTCTACGTGCCTGCTGAGCCACGTGTGCCTCCGCCAAGTCTGGATGTCCAGGTCAGGGTTTGATCCGCCGTGTCGGTACTCCGTGCTCGTAAGGCTACATGTTGGGAGAGACTTATATCGACAGACAGTAGTAACAGAGCAGGGAAATGCCAGATGCCGCACCGAGAGCCGCCGTCACTTTGTGTTTTTTTCTTTTCTTTTCCTTCCTTTTTTTTTTCTTTTTTGGTACGGAACGCGACGGCACCGTTAGCAAGAGGAGCGGCTGCCGCACCAACACTGGGCTCGCGTCAGGTGATGCAAGTTGCAAATTCGTCACGAACACACCCGGCATATAGACGGGACACGACGACTTGTCATCGCCGTAGTATGTATAAACTCCTCGACTGCAGGGGGTGTCCGGCAACTGCCGTCGTTGGGTTGGGTATGGGTCTTGTGAAATTATCGAACGAGCATCGAGAGCCCCCGAGAGAGCCCGAGAGCCGCTCCATTGATTCCAACATCCCATTTCCGTCATATAGACAAGGCCTCAATAACAAAGAAGCCCAAATGCTTCTCGAAATGACGCCCCGAAGACGTTAGCATAATTTTAGCATCTCTCAGCTCTGTCCCTAGTCAACTGATTCCGAATTTGTCCTGCCCCAACGCATGAAATATCACCTCCACCGAGGACACGGATCCCGGCCTGACGGATAAGCTTCATTCTTTTGCGCTCTTTTCTCGTATTTACCTCCCAGCTTTCCATCTTCCTCACTTCTATTGCTCGTCCCAAGCCTCACTGCTCTCACTGTGCGCATTAACTCTGCCGTCAACTGGTCTGTTCCACCACTCCGTACCCCTGTTTCATAGCGTCACAATACCCGGGCCATGGGCTAAACATTTTGCAAACAAAACTTCAGTGTGTAATCGGAGATGCAAATTTTTAGTTGCCTCATTTGCTTCAGGCAGTTTCATTCATCACTATGCGGCTTTTTTTCTTGTTCGACACGAGCCATTTTCGCTGGTTTCTTCGCCTCGTTTACGAGGACCTACCCGCCTTTAAGGTAAAAGCCAAAGAGGTCGCCGAGTTCCGGGGAAATGACCATGCCGAATTTTTATCTTAAGACGCGAATACTTCCCGATCCGAAAAGAAATTAGTCTCCGCTCCCGAATCATGCTCCAGATTACCGATAATTTTTCGACAACATAGATAACTCCAAACAAAGTCTATTTACAGAGTTCACCTTTGATGCCCAAAAGCTACAATGTCGGCGACGGCACTGAACCGGTGCTGGAACACACGCAGCCCTTGTCCGAGAGACTCGTGACTGGCGGCTGTTTGCACGTGGCTTCGGGGGTGAACCCGGCAATAGTCGACGTAGGTATAGGCTGCACCGCTTCAGCCTTGACAAGTACCGGGATAATTTGTCCCGTTGACAAGCCAAAGGCGCGATGGTTTAACGCAGTGAGCAACGCGGCAATTTCACCAGAGTGGCTCGTGACACTGATCCACGTAGAGCCGTCGTTGGTAAATACGTCGTCGAGAACGGCTTTGCTGCGGGCGACCTGGTGAGCCGACGTCTCTCCTTTGTCCGCTCGCCATAGCTCGTCAGCTTCTGTGAATCCCTCTTCAAACTTCCATCCTGGCATGAATTTGGCAATCTCAGATTTGGTTGAGCGGCGGTCGCATGTGTGAATGCTAATGTCTTCGCGAAAGAATTCCTTGATAGTGGGCACGAACGGGCGCTGTGCGGGCATTTTCAACGTGCTGAACGTCGTGTTGGCGGTCTGAAGACATCGCTTCAAGGGGGAGCTGTAGTATGACTCGAAATGCGGCATATTTTGCTGCTCGTACAGAGTCTTGTAGAAGCCATTGGCCTTTTCGGCTTCCTTGAAGCCATCCGGAGTCAGCAACGGATCGGCCCATGTGATGGTGCCGTTGCCTTCCAATTCAGCCCAGTAGCACTGTGGGCAGGCAGAAAATTTCACGTATCAGCATGCCAAGTGCTAGCAAGTCGGGTTGATAGGAGAGGGGCATACTCACGTTCCATGCGGGCGTGCCGTAGTAGCTCTCGGCGACGTTGTGGTAACCCTGACCATGACGGCCAAAGAAGACCACCTTGTAGCGGATACTTTCGCTCTTGTCACAATGATGGTTGAGATAATGAACCCATTTGCTGAAGCGCTGCCATTGCGACTTGGTACCCTCAGGATCAAACTTGTCGTCTGTGGGATATGTCCTGTCTATCAATCCAAAGTTGTGCTGAGCCTGCTCGTGAATGCAGAGTCAGTGACTGCGCAAGACGAAGGGGAGTGAGGCACATCGTACGTAGTCGAACCCGCTTGGATTTGTCTTGGGATCATCTTGAAGAAGGTAGCCTGCGACCGACGTGTACTGGATTTGCTTGCCTTTTGCCTCAGACCATGTCGCCATGGTGTGTGATGCGGGGCCGAGCAAGATTAGGAAAGAAGAAAGCTTCATGCTCGGGCTGGCGGGATGCAGCTGTCTGCTCTGCGAAGGGGCGATTGGAGTGTATTCATTGAACAATGAGAGGCGCGGCGCTGTGCGTGCGCATGCCAAATATTTTGATGCCTCGAAGCTTGACCGGCGCTGCCGCGTCGGACAGGAGACGGGGAGTTGTTGGCCACGCGCAAGCCAGCGCCAATCGATGGGCAACGTGGAGGTGGGAGTTTGGTGCCTTTTTGGAGCCAACCGTCAAGCCACCTTGGTTCCTAAGTAGGCTAAACGATGAGTTGCTACGCGTTTGGAGATGTCTGATAAAAGTCAGCCATGATGTATCAGTAAGGCAGACAGCCGTTGCCTGCCATGCGAGTTAACGTCTCAGCGCTAGAGATGGTTTTGAAATGGATGATGGTCCATGGATGCACGTGCCCAACCTTGGATCACTCGACCCTGATCAGATGCATTCTGTCGATGCAGATGCAAATTATGCCTGCTAACGCCGACAGCTTCTGCCACAATTTTTCGTTTCTGCTCCAGATGTCCAGTACTGGGTGGCCTCAGTAAGCCGCTGTCGCCCATCAACCATGTTGTCATCAATTGATGTGTATCTGACTCATCTGTGATGGTCCATCCAAAGAAAGAAGCAGCATGTACTCCATACAAAGGAGCTCCTCCCTCGACCACTCACAATCATTGATATGCCCCTCGTTCCTGGCCAACCAGATCAGCGCAGCGCTACTTACCGCCCCGCGCCATCATCTCAACTTGGCATGTGAAACTCGCTGTCCTAATTTGACCAGACATGGATGTTTTGCCATCGAGAATCCACTACGGAGTACGTCTCTAAATATCTCCCAACGTGAAAACCACGACTCCAACCGCGGACCCAGTTATCAGCCATAACGGACGCGATTAAGTGTGTCTGCGTCCTTTAGGCGCCTCTCTTCCCCTTTCCCATCTCTTCACAACTGCCACCAACTACTACCCCACCATGAGCACGGCTTCCAAGGAGGGGCAGCCGCAAGGAGACCCTGCCCCTGAGCTGTTTGACGGCCGCATATGGGTTGATGGCTGCTGGGACTTCTTCCACCACGGTATGTAAACAAGCTCTTAATGGGCATGCCTTCATTTTCGTGGGCTAACTGCTGCTGTCAGGCCATGCCGGAGCCATGGTTCAAGCCAGACAGCTCGGCGACGAGCTGTACGTCGGTGTCCATTCTGATGAGGAAATTCTGGCCAACAAGGGACCAACGGTCATGACCCTTGAGGAGAGGTTTGCCATCCGTGGACTCTGTTCACAGCTCCAGGCATACATCACTTTCTGACATGTGGCATAGATTAGCAGCCGCGAATGCTTGTCGCTGGGTCACCAAGGCAATCGGCCATGCTCCATACGTCACCGAACTTCCCTATATCACACACTACGGCTGCAAATATGTCGTGCATGGAGATGACATTACTTCGGACAGCGACGGAAACGACTGCTACCGCTTTGTTAAACAGGCCGGTCGCTTCAAAGTTGTGAAGCGCTCTCCGGGCATCTCCACGACGGATCTCGTTGGCCGCATGCTGCTGTGCACGAAAACACACTTTATCCATTCTCTACAAAAGATGCTCATTGGCGAGGAGGGATATGGAAGCCCCGAGGAACGCAAAGCCCAAGGAAAAGCCATGCTGGAGCGCATGAAGCTGTACGCAACAGATGAGACTGCAAAGGCCCCTGGCGCTGAGGTATGGTTCTGGAATGCCTCAAACCAGGCCAAGGCGGAGGATACCGAGGAAGAGACGGGGTCATTTGATAAGTTGCTCCCCGGCATCGGCCCTCGGCCAGGGCAACGTATTGTTTATGTAGATGGGGGATTCGACCTCTTTTCCAGTGGTCACATTGAGTTTCTACGAAAAGTAGGCGTCGAGGAAGAGCAACTGGCGCGCAAGTCGGGTTGGTTCTCTGACGAAGCCAAGAGCAAGCGAACGAGCGACGGCGGCAAAGATTACGAGCCAGCCTTTGTCGTTGTCGGAGTTCATGACGATGAAGTGATTAATCAGTGGAAGGGTGTCAACTACCCAATTATGAACATTTTTGAACGCGGTCTTTGCGTCTTGCAATGCAAGGTATGTAATGCACCATCTCGTCGTGGCCCCGATAACCAACGGGGTGAGACGCAGTGCTCGCCTATGTTTGCTAGTGTCCTGACTTTTTGCGGTAGTATATCAACGCTGTCGTGTTTGGCGCCCCGTTCACACCGACAAAGTCATACTTGAAGTCGCTTCCATGGGGCGTTCCGGATGCCATCTATCACGGCCCGACCGCCTTTATGCCGCTTACGTACGACCCGTATACTGCCCCCAAGGAAATGGGAATATATAGGGAAATTGGGCATCATGCTTTTGCTGAAGTCAATGCCGGCGAGATCGTGCAACGCATCATGAAGAGCCGAGATCGTTACGAGGCGAGACAACGAGCCAAAGGTGTCAAGGCGGAAGTGGAAGCAGCGGCTAGACAACGTGAAATATTGGAAGAGGAGCAACGCGGCAGAGAAGCCGAGCGCAGCGGTGCTGGGGGTGCCACCGGTACCAATGCGTAAGCCCCCAGGTTGTGAAACTGCAGCGGTTGATGACGAGCTGCATATGGCGTATTGCAGGGTGCCGGTGAGAACACACGCGGATATCAAGCATCACCAGCACATGATGCAGCTACCCATGCATTTGGATCGGAGTTTGTTTGTGTTGTGTGGTACTCGGATAGGATACTACAAGCGTTTGTTGGATGGCTCGCAACAAAAGTCGTAGAGGCCAGACATGAAGGCAAGGGCAGGTGACAGGAGGGGTCGGCTTCATTCAACAGGGCCACTTGTGCATGTCGGATAGAGGAAAAGGGGGAAAAAATGCCAGCAACGTCAACTTGATGGTGAAGGCAGGGCGGTGATGATGTGGCAGTCGCTGGAAAGGAAATGTTCGGTGGCTGGGCGGAACTGAGAAGAGTTCGGCCACCGCACATGCATCGTCAGCCTTGGAATGAATGAATGGTCTGGGGTTGGATGGCAACGTTAACCGTGGTCGTAAAATAGTGGTCACGTTGGCAAGAGTCTGTTTTCGATTACCAAAACAATTGTCTACGGAGATGCAGCGACTGCTTGCCATTTTGCATTGGCCAACAGCTACGTATTCGTGCCACCCAAGACAATGATCTGTGCTAAGTGAGTGGTTCCGAATGAAGACGACCTCCTTCTCTCCATGTCTTTGTTCTCTCTTTTTTTTTTTGGTGCCCTTTTTTGCTTTATGACTAAAAGCGGCATTGCATTGGCTGTGGGGTAAAGCTTGTTTGGATTGCAGTGATGGGGGTGGGTGAGCAAAGTGCACTAAGCATGATCATGGTGGGCCATTCAAAGTTCCATGTCTATCGAGATAAGGCAGCGCGGCTATCCGCGGCGGTGTTGTAGAGAGGCAATTCCGCCCTGCTTTGGGCCCTCCAATGGAGACGTCGTGACAAGCTACGCCCTTGCGGTCTCGGCGCCATCTGGAAGACAAAGTTCGCCCGGGAAACAGTTGGTATTTGCTTGTTGGGCTGATGATACACACCGCCTCTATGGCATGCCGCCTCGGACACCGTGCCGTGGCACTGGGCAGCAGCTGGGGGATTCGGTCCATTACAAACAACAATGAAATGGGCAGCATTGGCAACATTTGCATATTTGAGCATTTCAACCACATTATGCGTCAAACGGTAGCCCCATGTGTCGCAGCGGCGTGGGGCTGGTCGATTTTGCTGGCCTCGATAGTCGACTCCTCGACTCCACGGCGAGGTTCCGCACCGCTTGACCCGGCCCGGCGTTGCACAGCTGCGGAAGCGTGATTGCGACGGTGCACAGGTTGAGAAGGAAAAGATGGGATGGGTGATGGGGGCATTATTGTTTATTTTGTACACCATGGCAAGCTCGCCCCTTTTTAAATTGAATTCTGCAATGTGCGCTCCTCCCGCGGGCCGAAGGGACCCCTCTCACCATGTGCACAGGTCAACAGGACTGGCATGCTGCCCATGTTACATGTAAGCCGAGTTTGACGGCCTCGCGGAGCCCGTCGAGGGGCGGCAGGCATCGGAGGACCTGGATCGCGCCTGCCCACGCTGCGGCTTTGGCAGCGAGTCACCTGGCCACTTCTGTTCCCCGATTGAGCGAGCCACGGGTGGGTCTGCCGAACGCCGCGGGGGGGCGGCTCCTCAGGATTCCTTGGTCGTCTCGTTACGTACTCGATCCTGACGCGCACTCGGCCCTTCCCTGTTGGGCTTTCGAGTGCCGACTGCAGCTATGTGTAGGTGGCATCTTTTGCTGCAGTTGGGCTCGGTGTTGAAGAGGCGTTTCTTGGTTCGGCCCCAGCAATCCGGAAATGGAGGTGCCACGGAAAAGCAGGTACTGGCCACCGCCCACACCTGGGGAGACTGAGGCGAAGCGTCGACTACATGCCGCGGACAAGGGTGCGGCGCTCAAAAAAAAAAAAAAAATTAAAGATAAAAAACAAAGTATGTATACGGGGTATGCAAGGCCAAAAAGGAAAGGCGGGACATAGAGAGAGAGAGAGAGGCAGATAAAGAGACTCGCGCCCTTTGCTAGCCGTCCACACACATTGTCCCCAGTTGACTCCGCCGTGATGGGGACGGTTGACCCCGGTTCCTTCGGCACTAACACATAGTGATACCCGGGTGCTAGTGTGGCTTCTTTTCTTACTTTTTTCGGCTTGACTCATTCTCCTCTTAAACCGCCATTCTTTTTCTTCTACCCTTTCCTCTTCCCACTGCACACTCGCCGAATTTGCTGTTCTTTCTTTCATCCACCGACGGGACGGAAACTGCTTCATATCTTGTGAGTGGAATTGGTTCATGTGACCTTGTTTTCCTCGTAGTTGCGAGTGGCTGGGAAACATCTGAAAACGGGAGTTGTGCTGAGACATTGGCAGGACGGATAAAAGGTCGTCTTATCCAGAGACATCACCACCACCACCAACCACGCAGCAAAAACAACAACAACGACAACGACAACAAGACCAACACAGCACCAGCAATCGGCAACAAAATGGCCCCCTCTGCCGTCCCCCAGCAGGACGTCAACCTGACCGCCGCGGCCATCCAGCGCAAGGAGGCCAGCATGGCCAACGGCGACGGCGGGCAAAAGACCCCCCTCGACGCCTCCAAGCTCACCTACTCGCTGACCAAGTCTCCCCGCCCCGTGCCGGACCAGGCCACGGCCAACGCCGGCGACGAGACCATCGCCACGGACCACATGGTGACGGCGACGTGGAAGGCCTCGACGGGCTGGGGCGCGCCGGAGCTCAAGACGTACGGGCCCCTGAGCCTGATGCCGACGGCGTCGTGCCTGCACTACGCCACCGAGTGCTTCGAGGGCCTCAAGGTGTTCCGCGGCTACGACGGCAAGCTGCGCGTGTTCCGGCCGGACCGCAACTGCGCGCGCATGCACATGTCGGCCGGGCGCATCTCGCTGCCGCTCTTCGAGCCGGCCGAGCTGGAGAAGCTCATGGTGGCGCTGCTGTCGGGCGGCGGGCCGCCC